ACGATCATGTAATGATGGTTATTAATACACGAGCATTAACCGGGATACGAAACGAGCCAAAGGCGAGTTTCGTATGGTTTATGCGAGTGTATTAATAACCATTACATGAGAGTTGCATACGCTATTGTTTCTACACCCGATAAATAATCAAGAACTATAAATATTATATTCATATTGGTATTGAACACAATAACAATAATTACTCGTGTATTTCTATAAAAAATTCTACAAAATTGTAATTAATGGTATTACTTCGGGTATTGGTATTTCCCTAGATTTTTGCGGCAAAATATTTTGTACTGTATTTTCTGCTTTCTCCGATATGTGTGGAGGAGTCTTCTATATCGCTGATATCAGACATTTTAATATTATAATTAACGAAGTTTAGTTATCTACCAAAATTTAATACGTTTTGACAACTAAAACAAATACATAGGAACCTAGGACAAACGTCAAACAGCATGCTTGATTGAAAAATTGTAGGTTTCTATTGATTAAAAATCTGTATCGTAATGAAAAATCTGTATCGTAATGAAAAATCTGTATCGTAATGAAAAATCTGTATCGTAATGAAAAATCTGTATCATAATGGGTATCATTATGAAACGGATTATGGGCATATAAGTGCATTATTATAATACGGGTGTAGAAAAAATTATAATTACAACAAATTAGTAATTTAACTTAACGTAATTTATTGTCTTTATAATTTCATTTTTTTTTTAATATCAATTAATAGTTATAGTTTATAGATTAAAAAAATATTTATTTTTAACTAAAATTTTTTGAATAACATGAGCCTTATAGGACTTCGGTCCTCAGCTCATGTCAGTGAATAATAATATTAATATTAATAATATACACTACTGTTTGTTGTACACTTCTCTCTTTACGTGTGTAGATAATATTAGACTCACTATTTTTACAAGTAAGGCCTATCTATCTGTAGTATACATTATATGTATGTTGTTAATACTATATCACTCTGTATTGTTTTAATTTATAATTGTCAGTTACTAATTTAGTTGTCAATTTGTACGCTCTGTTTTTGTGGAATAAAGCCATTTATTCTGGGTATTTACTACAATTTATTCCACAAGTAATATTAGTACAATGGACGGCATCGGAAAATATCTAAGACCAGCTCGATTCGAAATTGATCCTACCTCTCGTTCTGCCGCCGATGAGTGGATTTATTGGAGAAGCACATTCAATAGTTTTCTTGAATCTCATGGAGAAGATGAAGAAGTTTCAGCAGATGTGAAACTAAAAATATTGATAAACCATGTTAGTTCCAGTGTTTATAAGCTAAATAAAGGGTGTAAGACATTAGAGGAAGCTCTAAAACGTTTGGATGATATATATGTTAAATCCAAAAATCAAATATATGCGCGACACTTACTTGCTACTCGCCGACAGCAACCAAATGAGTCTATAAGTCAATATTTACGGATCTTGGAAGATTTTTCAATAGATTGCGAATTTAAAGCTGTAACTGCAGAACAAAATAAGAAAGATTATATTAGAGATGCTTTTATAGCAGGTTTGTCTTCCAATTTTATTCGACAAAGATTATTAGAAGAAATTACAATGGATTTGGATATGGCCTTTAATAAAGCATTGTCACTAGAAAATGCCCAACTCCAATCTGCTAGTTTTTCTCCTTCAAACTCGTTAGTAAACGCTCTTGATTCTAATCGTGACTTAATTAATAACACTTCTCTCATAGACTCAGAAAATATTGTCGCAGCTTCCAAATATAATAATTTTAAATGTTTTTTTTTGTGGGGGTCCTAAACACCAACGACAAGAATGTCCTGCCTCAAATGTTATTTGTAGAAATTGTCAGAAACGTGGTCACTTTTCTAAAGTATGTAGAGGAAAAGCTATTACTGGTAAAACTATTGCGTCAGCAACTACTGCAGCAGCTGATATCTTGGCTCACATAGTATCTACTGCGTCGAATGGCGGATTAGAAAAAGCTATCATCCCAGCAAAGATAAACAACCAACAGGCTAGGTGTTTAATAGATACTGGAAGCACATCTAGTTTTATCAATCTTCTGTTGGTTAAACAATGTAAATTCCCGATAATGCCTTCAGATGAAAAAGTTAACATGGCTTCCATATCATTAACTTCGCAAGTTGAAGGAAGTTGTAATGTATCTATAGAAATATTAGGTTATCTCTACAAGGACATTAAGTTATTAATTATTAAGGATTTGTGTGCAGACGTCATAATTGGTCATGATATCCTCAAAAATCATCAGTCACTCGAAATATCCTTTGGAGGATCAATAAACCCCCTCAAAATATGCAGTGTAGCACAAGCAATTGTTCCACCGGCTCAACTATTTAATAAGCTCTCTCCGGATTGTAGACCAATTGCCATAAAATCAATTAAACATTCTCCTGAAGATTTACAATTTATTAGCGATGAAGTAAATAATCTTCTTCTTGAAGGTGTAATCGAAGAAAGTAATTCTTCATGGCGTGCACAAGTCCTAGTCACTAAAAGTTCAACTCATAAGAAAAGGATGGTTATAAATTATGCTCAAACGATAAACCGTTTCACAGAATTGGATGCTTACCCTCTCCCCAATATAGAGGATTTAATATCTAAAATATCTAAGTATTCATTTTTTAGCACTATTGATTTAAAAAGTGCATACCATCAAATACCAATTTGTAAAAAAGATAGACCCTATACTGCTTTTGAAGCAGGTGGAAATCTTTATCAATTTCTACGAATTCCATTCGGGGTTACCAATGGGGTGGCAGCCTTTCAACGGGTTATTAATTCAATTATTCAAAAAGAACAACTTCAAGGAACATATTCGTATTTAGATGATGTAACTATTGGTGGTGAAACTCAAAATGAACATGACATCAATCTCAGCAGATTCTTAGAGGTGGCAAGAAAATATCAGTTAACATTAAATAAAGAAAAATCAAAATTTTCCTTAACTTCAATCAACCTTTTGGGCTATAATATAGAAAACAATACAATAAGACCAGATCCCGATCGATTACGTCCACTGCTTGAGCTCAATTTTCCCTCTAATCAAACTTCTCTTCGGCGTGTATTAGGTATGTTTTCCCATTATGCAAAATGGATACCTAGATTTTCAACTTTAATACAGCCACTTATTCAATGTAAAATATTTCCAATTTCCTCAGAAGCTGCAGATTGTTTTAATACGATCAAGTCGAATATAGCCAAATCGTTTGTTTCCGCAATTAATGACAAACTTCCATTAGTTGTGGAAACTGATGCCTCAGAATTCGCTATAGCTGCCACACTATCGCAAGACAATAGACCGGTGGCATTCTTTTCGCGCACTCTATCAGAAACAGAAAAAAGACATTCTGCTGTTGAAAAAGAGGCTTATGCCATTGTGGAAGCGCTTAGAAAATGGAGGCACTATCTTATTGGTCGACCGTTCACCCTTATTACTGATCAGAAATCAGTAACATTTATGTTTGATACTAAACATCCAGGAAAAATAAAAAATGACAAAATTTTAAGATGGCGATTGGAACTTTCCAGCTATAGATATGACATTGTTTATCGTCCTGGCAAATTAAATAATATCTGTGACACCTTATCAAGAGCTGAAAACTTGTCAAACGTATGCGCTAACGTATCGCCAGGATATGGAAATCGTCTTATTGAATTACATAAATCACTATGTCATCCTGGGATTACTCGTATGACTCACTGGGTACGATCGAAAAATCTACCATACTCAATTGAAGAGATTAGAAAAATAATACTATCCTGTCCCGTTTGCTCTGAAGTTAAACCACGCTTCTACAAAATTCAAAACAATTTAATCAAGGCTACGAAGCCTTTTGAAAGACTTTCATTAGATTTTAAAGGACCTCTACCTTCCACAACTCATAATAAGTATCTTCTTACTATAATTGATGAATATTCACGATTTCCATTTGCGTTTCCATGCAAGGATGTGTCTGCAGCAAGTATTATAAAACATTTATCAAGTCTTTTCTTTCTCTTTGGGTTACCAAGCTATGTACATTCAGACAGAGGCTCAGCTTTTATGTCGCAAGAATTAAGGGAATTTCTTCAATCTAAAGGAGTGGCGACTAGCCGGACAACTGCTTACAATCCACAAGGTAACGGCCAAATAGAAAGAGAAAACGGAATAATTTGGAAAACAATTCAGTTAACTACTAGATCAAAGGCCCTAAAAATTTCTCAATGGGAATTAGTCCTTCCGGAAGTTTTACACTCCATTAGATCCTTGCTATGTACTGCTACCAACACAACGCCTCATGAAAGAATGTTTCTTCACAGTAGAAGATCAACAAACGGACAATCATTACCTTCGTGGCTATCTACTCCTGGAACTGTCTTCATGAGGAAACACAATCGTTCTAACAAATATGAACCATTAGTGGAAGAAGTGGAACTTCTAGAGGCTAATCCGGATTATTCGTATGTCCGCTTAAGAGATGGAAAAGAAACGACTGTATCAAATCGACATTTGGCCCCTAAAGGAGACGAAGGACATATTGTACATGACGAGCCTGAAGATGTAGAAACACCACCACCTGCACCACCCCGATGCTCTTTCGAAATTGATACAATTTCAGAAAACTCTTCCACGCCTGAATCTCGTACCGCTTATTCTGAGAAAACGGTGCCAACGCCTTTGATAAGTGTAGACGAAGAAAATACCAACGATATAAACTCATGTGACACAAACCAACTGAGACGATCGAGACGAACTAAAGAAACTCCAAAATATTTAAACGATTACTATCGTTTTTGAAGGTGGGAAGAATGTAGTATACATTATATGTATGTTGTTAATACTATATCACTCTGTATTGTTTTAATTTATAATTGTCAGTTACTAATTTAGTTGTCAATTTGTACGCTCTGTTTTTGTGGAATAAAGCCATTTATTCTGGGTATTTACTACACTATCCTAATAGATATTCGAATAACCCAAAAAAAGAGAAGAATAAGAAATTTGACAAATCCGTCATATCATTCATAAATTCATACATTCCATAAATTTTTTTTAATCAATAAATAAAAAATTAACCAGTACCAATATGTCATTAAACACAGCACATTTAAATGGCGAAGTGTTTCTAGACAAAGGAGAGAAGATTTTGTTGTGTTCGGATGGTGTAACACTAGTATGGTGTGGGCAAAAATCTGCGGTTTTTCAAGGTACTAAAACAGGAATCTTATATCTCACTACCAATCGCTTAATTTTTATAAGCAAGCCAGGGTTAAACAAAATGATCAGTTTTAGTTTCCCTTTCGAATCACTTAGTGAAGTTGAGATAGAACAACCTAGTTTTAGTGCAAATTATATTAAAGGAAAAGTCAGAGCACAACGGGATGGAAATTGGACAGGAGAAGCCAAATTTAAGATAACTTTCAAGAAAGGGGGTGCTATAGAATTTGGCGAGGCTATGAAAAGAGTTGCTCGATTGGCTTTTTGTGTTGTGAAACAAACTCCACCACCGTATGTTGCTCTTCCAGCTGTCTACGGCCTCCATTCACAAGAAACAGATTCTGCAGAAGTTGGACGATCGGTCTACTCTTATCCGAATAAATCTCTAATGAATAATGATATTCCTCCACCAGCTTATAAGAGTTTATTAACAAAAGAAGAAAAATAAAAAGTAACAACCCTAGTCACAAGATTAGGCAGCCTAATTATGCTATAACCTATTTAAATAATATCCTTTTATCCAATGAAAACTGATGTCCTTATTTCAAATTATAACTACTTTATTTATCCTTTTTTATTTTATTTGTCAAAATAAAATCAAAAATTTAGAATAAAAACGAGTTTTAAAGCTAATTATAAAAAACCGACTCCAAAATCGTCAGATGCCATTAAAAATTTGACCAAAAATATATACAGGACCATCCTTAAGGTACCCCCTTTCTAACAAAAAAAAAAATAATAGAAATTGGAAAACATACCAAAGAATGTTCGCTGAAGATCCATAAAAAATTAAGAGTTTGATGATTTTCTCATTGAAGTCATTATTAAATTTTAACCAAATTTATATGGGACCACCTTTGAGGTACCTCCTTTCTAACAAAAAAAAAAGAATCATAGAAATCTGACAACGTGGTAAAAAATTATCACTGAACATACATATTCAAAGAAGTATGATCTTTAACTTAAATATGTACAAGTTTAAAAAGTATCCTATGAGATATAGTCCAAAGAGGACTAGAACAGACCAGAATATGGTGCTGTGAGGTGAGAATAGTATAAACCCCACCGAAATAACTCTAAACCAAATGCTGAACAACAAAATTTTCTAAAGCATACAAGACAAGAAAGTAGTAAATAAGAACACAAAAGCCCTAACGGAATGCAGAAACATTATGGAAAAAAGATGAGGATATAACCCGAACACTCTGCGATGAATATATACAGCAATAGTGAGACAAATCAACACTTACGGGACTGTAAGTAACAGAGCTAGTTTAGCTGCTACGATAGCTAATATCTCAAAAGTACAAAGAATAACCTGTGTTTGCATCACCGGTGTAATGAGAACCTGTCCTACGACCGCAGTAGAGGTTATCTTAAACCTCACCCTTCTACATTTAATGGTAGCGTAGCAGAAGGGACAAGATATAGAATGATCAGGAACGGATTGAGAAACAAGTACAATTTTGTGAAAAATTTCAAAACCACAGAGCTGGGTTGCTAGAAAGAATGGAGCCAAAAATCCATCATGTTTGTAATTCAAATTTAGTGGTATACGGAAGGTTTCAAAACCACAGGAGAAAATGGAATAGGAGTGTATGAGCCTAGAATCAGGTACTCTGAAAGTTTAGATAAGTACTTAAGCATCCTCCACTAAATAGAAACTATGGCAGACAAGAGATTATCATCATGTCCGATAAGCCAAGCCAAGCGCAAAAAAAACTAATTGTGCCAGGCAAGAATACAGTATATTCTCACTTGGGTCCAGAGACAACGGGATACAGGATAACGAAACTCCAGATAGTCTCACAAAAAAAGGGACTCAAACATCCTTTGTGGGACCTGAGCCGTTTTGCGGTATCATTAGTAACCCGAGTTCTGGTACAGAGCTAGCTTTATATAAATAGCGCGAATAAATTAGAATTGTAAGTTATAATAGTGCCTAAGTATTATACAGGGTGTTCCATCTCAGACGAGCCACCCCGTATATTCCTTATCCCATAGTAATTGGAAAAATTTTCCGAAACAAGTAGGATAATTTTCTTTGGGGGACATTTTTTGACGTATATTTGAGGCTTGAGCGAGCAACCCCCTATGAGAGGGCGCTTCAACCCCTCAAAACTGAATAGGGAAGAGGGGTTGAGTGATACTTCATTTGTAAGGTCTTGAAAGCCTCTTTACAATGGTGTATAGAAAAATCACATTCTTAAAAAAATTAATTGTTTTATCATGCTTACAATCAAAAAAATCAAAACTGCGTTTTTAAATCAAATGTTCAAATTGTCCTCCATTGACTTCCATATAATAATTCTCTCGAACTAATAAATAAAAAAAAAATCAAAACATTTTCTTTATCTTCATTTTTGTTCTTAAAAGGTGTTTATCACGTTTCTTCGATCATTTCATGTATTTCAAATCAATCTGTTGAGTTACTACTTTGCTGATTTGCTTACAATTTTAAAAATAAATTATGGTGTATACATTGCAAGAACGTGGTGAGCTGGTTAGCCTGTATTACCAAATTTTAAAATGGTGTCCGAGCGGCTGCAAGGATATTTAACCGAAACCATCCTGAACGTAGCGTTCGCCATAAGTACGTAATGGAATTGATTTCAAAATTTGTTGAGACGGGTTCAGTAATAGATAAAAAAAGGGCACCCATTGGAATTGTAAATGATGAAGGAGCAGCTGTGGCGGTATTGGGCCATGTCCAACTTATGCCAAACACGCAATCTGTCCGACAACTTTCTGCAGTTTCCGATATTGTCCAATCTAACGTTTTCAGAATTTTACATAAACACAAGTTACATCCGTACAAAATTAAATTAATTTCTGAATTAAATGATGATGATTTGGATCGAAGGCAAGAGTTTTGCGAAATTATGGCCGAGCGTATCAACAATAATCCAAATTTCTTGTACAACGTTTGCTTTTCGACGAATGTTCTTTTTCACTTAATGGAGAGGTTAACCGGCATAACTATAGAATTTGGAGCGATACAAATCTTCATGTATTTCGAGAAGCTCACACTCAATATCCGGAAAAGCTAAACGTTTGGGTAGAAATTTTGGGAGGCCACCTAATTGGACCTCTGTTTGTTCCTAGTAATTTAAATGGCGAAATTTATCTCGAAATACCGGAAAATGCGATTGATCCGTTAATAACAGAAAAATTAGAAAACGATCCTCTACTAATTAAACAACAATTGCATTTCCAATAAGACGGGGTTCCTCCTCACTACGCCGCACCAGTTTGCCAATACCTCAATTTTCAATACCCTGGTCGTTGGATTGGAAGAAGAGGTCCTATGGAGTAGCCTGCTCGCTCTCCTGACCTGAACCCTCTGGACTTCTTCCTGTGGGGACATCTTAAGTCCCAGATTTTTGTGACTCAGCCTGAAAATTTGGACCAACTACGCCAACGAATTGTAAATGAGTGTCGTCAAATAACTCCAGTTAGGCTGGACCATGTAAGAGACGGTTTTTAGTCAATATTGTATTATTGTATGAAAGTCAATGGAGGACAATTTGGGCATTTGATTTAAAAACGCATTTTTGATTTTTTGATTGTTAGCATCATAAAACAATTAATTTTTTTTAAGAATGTGATTTTTTCATACACCGTTGTAAAGAGGCTTTCAAGACCTTACAAATGAAGTATCACTTAACCCCTCTTCCCTATTCAATTTTGAGGAGTTGAAGGGCCCCCTCATAGGAGGTTGCTCGTTCAAGCCTTAAATATAGGTCACCCTGTATAAATTAATTACTACGTTATAAATAAGTGTTTTAAATAAATAATCTATAAATAAATTAAACAAACGTTACAGTATACCTATTTAATTATAAAAACGTCACACACTTTTGTTGCATTACAGCACTTGCAGGTTTAGAAATCAACAAAAATGTCTTTGTTTATCTACATTATTGATGAACAATTATTATGGGATTTTTATATAAATAATTAGTTAAGTTAAAAAATTACAAATGATCCTTTCTTTAAAACTTACTTATTAAATAATACATTTTCTTAAATAAATATAGGACATTAGTGAATATTAAATTTTAACGATATTCATCATTATTTACATCAACTACCTTATATAGGGTGGTACCAAACCCTTGCATTTTTTTAGAGACGTACGAAAGTAAAGAAAAACCTAAATGCCATTTTTTCTCAAAAGTCAAAAATAGGAAAAATAAAATTTTAAGTAGAACAAATTTCCCTTTAAAGAAAAAAAGTTAGCAAACAAAAAATATAATAACTAACTCATTCACTCCAACCATGCATTATTTATTCGTGCGATGTTGCAAGATTTAAGGATTTTTTTTAATATCAGTATCAAAAATAATATTAATCTTAACATACGACCATACTTGCTGATTATTATTTGACAAAAAAAGTTAACAGGAACATAAGCATAACAGTTAGGTACAAAAAATGCAGTAAACTCAATTTAGCTAACAGAAGTTTAATTTTTAACTGGTTATATTCAAAGTAAAAATGTCAATTTTATAACTATGTTTAACAATAATCGATGATTATACAACGAGGTTCACAGTTTAATCCAGGATTACATTTTAACTAACTATTGTACAACCAGCCCTTACTAAACTAAAAAAAAACAGCTAAAAAATAAAAATTTTGACACTTTATATTAAAACTTATTCATTCATTAGATAGCTACATCCCCTATGGGAGCTGTCATTTCCAACCCCTGGGAACAATAGAAAGCTACCCTAACAACGGATTTCAAATTATATGCCTCTCCGTTTTATATGGTATTTAATGTTTACAGGATGAAAGTTAAGTAGCCTGATGCATTGACAGATATTGAGGATTTTTGGATTTTTCGATGCATAAATATTGGTATTATGGAGGTGTTAAAAGTAGGTCGATTATAGGGATCAAAATAGGAGATTAGTAGCAGTTCTATACAGGGATAACGTGTTGGGGTGTTTTTCATATAGATCCGTTGGAATATGATTTAAGTAGAATGCTTTTAAAGATTTTATTTAACATATAAAATGTTTGTTTTGTCATTGTTTGTTTTAATTTATCTATAGGTGGTCTTAGAATTTTTTTTTGGGGCATATAAGAAAAAAATTTGCTCTGTATTCTCTGACATTTTATTTACATATTCCTTGTACTAAAAATTCCAAATTATTAGACCAAAATTTAGTAGATACTAAAATATTCAACTTTCTTTTATTTCAAATGGACTACTTTGAGAGTACTGATCATTATATATAATATATTTATATTTCCAGAGAGAGAGTAATAATATATTTTTTGGGGTCATGGAAAATTGAGGTAGACTTGTATAAATAAACTCTCTGAAGCTTTATAAATAATTTTAATTGATCTGCATACAATATAAGATTTTTTATATCTAGATAAAACACTATATCGTTAATGTATACAACTATATATATTTATTAAACAAATAACCTCTCAAGTGCTAATCTTGTGGCATCCCTAAAGTTCCAAAGTTCTAACCTGAAATAGACTATTATTAATGCAGTTTCTTTTGTTGTTGTAGTCCTTCTTGTTTGACAGTAATCTTTATGTTTCTATAACCTGTGAATAATTTTCCTTCTACCTATTTGTTT